TTTTAAATCTTATAAAGAAGCTTGTACCATATAAAAGGCTCCCAAATGTGACCTGAGTTTGAATTATATCTAATACCTAAGCCGATACCGCAGTTTATGGGAAACAGGAACAATGGGTTTCTAGAGTGAGCCATGCCTGTCACAGTCACAGAGTCTTCAGCTTAGGCCAGCAGAGTTCCTTTAGGTTATTTGTGCTGCATGGCAAAAGGGGGAGGAAAATGGGGTCTGCGGCTCCCGAACACGTCCTAGCGGTCTCGAGGTCCACGGCCCTCCCTGATCCCTAACGCTCAGTGGGCCTCCGTGGCCGGCTCCCAACAGCTGGTCTCAAACTCCTGGACTCAAGCAAGCCTCCCATCTTGGCCTCCCAAAGTGCTGGGATTACAGGTGTTACCTAGTCCCAGCAGTGAATCTGTAACTTTTGAACACTGACATGACATAGAAAGAAAATGTTCATGGGAGAATTTCAGATTTCAGGTTTTTGAATTCAGGATGTGCAACTAGTCTGTGTCCTATAAATATTCCAAAATCTGAAATCCAAAGCACCTCCACTCCCAAGCACTTCCGATGAGGAAGATACACCTTGCACCACGCCCACCGGAGTCTGTCCCTGGTCCTCAGCGGCCGGCACCATGGTCAACTTCCTTGTCTTTTCCTCCATGTGCCGTTCTGTCTCAGTTGGTCACTTTTAGCTTTTTCCGACATGACCTCCTCCATGTTTGTTATGTTTCTGTCAATTCACTTTTGAAAAAAAATAGCTTTATTGATGTATAATTTACACACTGTAAAATTAGCACATTCTAAGCGTCTGATTCACATTCTAAGTGTATTACTCAGTGATTTAAATCCCTAGAGGGGCACAGATGTCCCATAGTCTAGCTCTAGAGCACACCCGTCACCCAAAGATCCCTTGTGCCTGTCTGCATTCAGCCATTGTTCCCACCCCAGCTCCAGCCTGCCTTTTCTGGACAGTTCCTATAAACGTGATTTCATAACATATGGAGGGTTTGGCATCTGGTTTCTTGGGTTTGCCTTGATTTTGAGGTCCCCTCATGTAGCATGAATCAGTATTTCATTCTTCATTGCTAAGTAGAGTTCATTCTCTGTTTATATTGCATCTGTTGTTGGTGTTATGTCTGAGAAATCTTTGCCTAACCCAAGATTATGAAGATCTTTCTCTTATGGTTGGTTTCTTCCAAAAATTGTATAGTTGTGGTTTTGTCATTTACTTTTAAGCTCTTTTGTTATCTTTAATCCCTGTGGTATGTGCTTGTGTTATGTGCTTTGGTGTAATGTCATTGTCATTCATTTTTGCCTTGAATTTTGTAAAGAAATTGAAGTTTGGAGAGGTTAAGTGCCTTGTCTATCATTGCACAAGTGGGTATAGAAGTAATTTGTTTTGGAAAAGTAAGTTGTTTCTTTGACACATGACTTAGGGGTATGTGTAATAAGGGTAATGTTTTTCTTACTTAATGTGTGAATTACCTGTGATGTTCTAACATTCTTTTTTAAATTGTGGTTTATGTTGTCTAGGCAAAAGACAAAGGAGAGATAGCCAAAGCAACCAAATTTTTAGCCTTGGACAAATGCTTACCACATAGAGACTTCCTTCAGGTAAAAAAAGTGAAATACCTTTGCAATACGGTTTTTTACTCTAACAGTGATTTTTTAAAAATAGTAACTGTCACAATTTATTTGTGCTCTTTGTAGTTTCTTGTGACAATTCTTTTGGGTGAATAGTTTAGTTGCTTTAATGCTTTACCATTAAATTGATTGATTTAAAAGTAAATCAAGTTTAAAATAAGTTTTAAAAAATGTTGTTGTTATAATTCTTAGACTATTAAAAATAAGTATGTATTTCTTTTTCTTTTTTCTTTTTTCTTTTTTGAGTTGGAGTCTCTGTTGCCCAGACTGGAATGCAGTGGCACACTCACGGCCACCCCAGTGTTGACCTGCTGGGCTCCAGCAATCCTTCCACCTCAGCCTTCCAAGTAGACGGAACTACAGGCATGCACTACCTCACCTGGCTAATTTTTTATTTAATGTAGAGACGAGTTCTCGCCAAGATGCACGGACTGGTCTCGAACCTGTGGGCTCAGGCAGTCCATTCACTCGGCCCCCCAAAGTGCTGGGATTACAAGCTGAGCCGCCGAGCCTGGCCTCAAAGTATGTAGTTCTTAAAATTACTGATTTCTTCCTGTAGATACTAGAAATAGAACATGACCCCAGTGCTCCTGACTACTTGGAGTATGACATCGAGTGGCTCACTGTCCTCAAGGCCACGGATGACCTTATTAATGTCACTGGACGCCTGTGGAATATGCCCGAGAATAATGGCCTGCATGCAAGGTGAGTCTGACCTCCTTCAGGACATGCTTTTTTCATTGCGTGCACAGTATTTGTCTCCCTCACCTGTTTTTAATCAAAGGATTTATTGCTGAGGCAGCATCAGAATAATTCATAGTTTACTGACTGGTTTACTTTAGAAAATGGTGTCTTCATCTAAGGGAAACAAGAAGATGGACTGTTGAGTTTAACTCAGATATGTTTATAAGTTTTTAATGTGCATAAAACTATAATATGGTGAAGATTTAGTTCACACATTAAAATTGTTTATATGTGCTTTGGGGTATGAGTTAAAATTGGCTTTTTCTAAGAATTATTTTTATTTCTAAATGGTCCTTTGCCAACTTAACTGTAATTTTGCTAAGTGGACTTATGATATGGTGGCTTATTTTTTATCCTTGCACTTGATATCCTCAGTTAGATTGCTTCGTTTATTGTTTGGAGCTGATGAAATGTAAAAAGCTGTTGTGTGGACTTTCGTAGGTGGGATTTTGGTGCCACGGAAGGAGCCATGAAGGAAGTACTGGAAAAATGGGATCATGACCTCAGGGTTCCATGTAACTTCAGTGTAACAGCAGCTTGCTATGACCCCAGCAAGCCACAGACACAAATGCAGCTGATTCATAGCATCAGTCCTCAGACCACTGAATTTTGTGCCCAGCTTGGCATCACAGACATCAACGTCAGGCTTCAGCAGTCCAAAGAAGAATGTCACTTATGTGAAGATGAAGAGCAGGATGTTGTGGACAGTAGTGACTCTGGAGAGGACCGGAGTGCATATAACACAGACACATCTGCCCTGTCCTCTTTTAATCCAGATGAAATACTGTTAGAGGAAGGCGAGGAAGGCGACGATGAGGGAAGCCTTGTAAGTGCACCTAGTGACGTGAATACCCCTTCTGTAGAGCCTTCCTCCGATCAAGCTTCTGACTTTTCTGCAAGTTTCTCTGATGTCAGAATCTTGCCAGGTTCCATGGTTGTGTCTTCTGAAGATACCCTGGAATCCCCAGTCGCTAGGGAGGGGAAACCTGGGGAGACAGTGGAGTTGGGGGATGCAGAGAACTTAACCCAGGGGCCATCGAAGAGGCTGAGTGATGAGCATGAACCTGAGCAAAGAAAGAAAATTAAGAGGAGGAATCAAGCCATCTATGCCGCAGTAGATGATGAGGAGGGGGAGGCAGCTTAAGGCAATTAATCGGCTTAGTTCCCTGTGTGGATCTGATTTTTGAGACAATATTTTAGAATGAGGTTTTTATAGAAAGACTTAACTTTGTACTAATGAAATCACTTGGGAGAATTTTAGTTAGGTATTGACTTTACCTTTAGGTCTTTGTTTTGTTTTTTTGTTTTTGAATTGGAGTCTCACTCTGTTGCCCAGACTGGAGTGCAGTGGCACGCTCCTGGCCACCGCAACCTCGACCTGCTGGGCTCAGGCAATCCTTCCGCCTCAGCCTACCAAGTAGCCGGAACTATACAGGCGCAGGCTACCACACCCAGCTAATTTTTTACTTTATTGTAGAGACGAGGTCTCGCCATGTTGCACCTTTAGGTCTTTGTATATTTCAGATGCAAACATTAAAATGCATAATTTACTTGACTGGGTACCTTTTTTTGAGATAGACATTATTCACTTTATTTTTTTAGGAAAAACTTACTGAAAATTTACTTTTTGCCAAGCCCTTTTATAATATGGGTCTATAAAGATGAGTAAGACACAGATTTTTGTCTCCAAGAAGTTGCTATCACTGTAAACATTTTGATATATAAAATATGGCCGCGTTATATTTTGTTTTGCAAAGTGAATTCATTATTGTATGTATAATTATGTATGCTTTCTTTTCATTTATTATGAATATTTTCCCTGGTCAGCTTTAATTGTCTGTCAAATAGAAATGATAATAAGATTTCAGGAAATAAACTCCTTTAAATACTAAACATTGGTAGACATAAACTCTGATTGAATTGCTGAGATCAGTAGAACCCCATTGACTTTTGCATTTGTGTCTTAGCTAAAGCTTTAATTTTCATGTAACCATAGTAACTGTATATAGGTCATTTTTGGTATAGTTCAACTTAGTATTAATTACTAGCAAAGAATCAAGTTGCACAAATCCTGCTAGTATTCGAGTGTTTTTGAAGATTTGTGTAGAAAAATGACACATCTGTGCTGCCTGGGTCACCAAGAAAAGGGTTGCTGTGTGTTTTGTGTCGGGAGTTGTGGAGTCCACAGATTGTTCCGGGATCTAATCATCCACTGTATCCACATGCAGGAGCCCATCTAGAATAAGGTAGCATCTGGCTTGCATTCTGTCAGCATTTGACTTGATAAAGGGTTAGGGCTTTGGGGCTTTTATCTTTCTTCCCATATCTTTGTTTACTTTCTTCGAGTTGAATATGAAACTGGCCACATAGAATTAATACCAGGTCACAGAGTGAAAGCTGCAGCTACAGCTAGAAATTGACAAACATGGCCTGGCTCAGTGGCTCAGCCTGTTATCCCAGCACTTTGGGACACCAAAGCGAGTGGATTGCCCGAGCCCAGGACTTCAAGACCAGCCTGGGCAACTTAGTGAGACCTCAGCTCTACAATAAATCAAAATAACTGGACATGATAACGCGCATCTATAGGTGCAGCTACTTGGAAGGCTGAGGCGGAAGGATCACCAGCGCCCAGCAGGTGGACACGGATGGCATTAACAAATATGTTGCTCTAATTTTCCTTGTAATTACCTTCATGTCTAACCCCAGGGAGGAGCAGAGGCTGCTCCATTAGACCAAGCCACATAAAACTGCTTGAGGAGACAAGAAGCCTTTGAAAGAAAAATGCGTAGCATGCACCTGTAGTTCCAGCTACTTGGAAGGCTAAGGTGGAAGGATCGTCTAAGCCCAGCCAGTCAAGCCTGCAGTGGCTGTGAGTGCACCACTGCACTCCAGCCTGGGAGGCAGAGTGAGACTTCAACTCAAAAAAAAAAAAGACAAATGTGACAGTTGGGTGAAATGGCTCACTCCTATAATCCCAGCACTTTGAGAGGCCAAGGCAAGAAGATCACTTGAGCTCAGGAGTTTGAGACCAGATTTGGCAACAGAGTGATACTTCTCTATGTGAAATGAAAAAGAGCTGGGTGTGGTAGGAGGCTGAGATGGGAGGATTTCCTGAGTCCAGGAGGACAACGTTTTGGAGAGTGGTGGGTGAGCATGCCACTGCACTCTAGCCTGGGTGACAGAGCGAGACAGACTCACAAAGCAGGAGCAGGGCATAGTGGCTCATGCCTATAATCCCAGCACTTTGGGAGGTGGAGGCAAGAGGATTGCCTGAGCCTATGTGTTCAAGACCAGCCTGGGCAACATGGCAAGACCTCGTCTCCACGATAAACCAAAACAATTCGCTGGGCATGGTGGTGTGTGCCTGTAGTTCTAGCTACTTGGAAGACTGAGGCTGAAGGAGTGCTTGAACCCAGCGGGTCGAGGCTGCAATGGCCGTGAGTGTGCCACCGTACTCCAGCCTGGGTGACAGGGTGAGACTGACTCAAAACAACAAACAAAACAGAAGGAAAAACAAAGCAGTTTCATTCTCCAGGGACTCCACTCTCCCATGTTTTCCTCCTATACTACCTCTTTAAAGACTCAGGGACCTGGAGACAGTACCTGATAGACATTGAACTTGCTTCATGAGTAACCATCTATTGGTATTTGAGATCTTTTTCACTCCTTGTACTCTGACAGACCCCAACCCCCAGCCAGGCCAGAACACCAGGAAGTCAGCTCGACCAGTCCCTGAGGCCATCTCTCAGAAACTGGCTTTACAGTGAGAAGGCAGCCCTCATCTTGCCAAGTTCCTTTTAAAAGCCTTATCCTCTGAATTTTTGGTGAGGCAGATTTGAGTGTTTTCTCCCAGCATCCTCACATAGCCACTTTGTGATATTAAACTCTCCATTGTAGTGGTTATAGTTTGTTTTTTGTTTTGGTTTGGGGGGGTGGGTGGGCAGTGGGCACGAGGACCCAGTTTAACTGTAACATTTAATTTATATTAATTCTCATTATTTACATAAAGTATTTAAGCCTATGAATTTCCCCATCACTGATTCAGTTGAGTTCTACTAATTCTGGCATTTAATGTTTTGTCTCCAGAAATTTTTAATGAAGATAAAAGCAGAAAATGGAAATGTTAAGATTAATGAATACTGTTTATAAAGAAGCAAGCTTTTTGTTTTGTTTTGTTTTGTTTTTGAGTTGGAGTCTCACTCTGTCGCCCAAACTAGAGTGCAGTGGCCGCTCCCGGCCACCGCAGCCTCGACCTGCTGGGCCCCGGTGATCCTTCCGCCTCAGCCTTCTGAGTAGCTGGAACTACAGGTGCGCGCTACTACACCCAGCTAATTTTTTGATTTATTGTAGAGATGAGGTCTTGCCAAGTTGCCCAGGCGGGTCTCGAACCCGCGGGCTCAGGCAATCCACTCACCTCAGCCTCCCAAAGTGCTGGGATTACAGGCTGAGCCACTGAGCCCAACTGAAGCAAGCTATTTTATCTAGTCAAGAAAGCATGAATATATTTGGAAAAAAATGAAATAATTACTCCCCACAAAAAGTACCTGGCCTATATAGTTTCAGGAGTAAACTACCAAATACTTTTAAAAACCATTCCTAGTGTTACATAAACTTTTCCAAAATTAGATATGAAATAAATGTTGTAGGTTGTCTGTAATGAAGCGAGCATAACATTGATGTCTAAATCTGAAGATATACACCAAAAAAACCATAATCTCACATGAGAATGCTGATGCAAAAGTCCTAAGTCAAATATTAAAAAACATTCTATAGCACATCAAGATGAGATGGCATGACCAATACAAAGATGGCTCAGTGTTAGAATCAGAAAAAAAAAATCCACAGCACCCCAAAATCTGAGCCTCAGCCCATTTGCAATTCTCTATGCAAGACCTTTCCTCCAGATGTTTTTCTAGGCCCAGGAAATAATTATCCCACAAAAGATGTGATGTCTTTGGGATAAACCATCAAGGCAATTATAGTCATCAAAATCTTCATAGCCCAAACCCTGACTCCTCCTTTCTAGGCTACAGGACAAGAAGCCATGAGAGCCCATCTGGATGGGCCATCCCAAACTCTCCTCTGTGACCTGACAGCAGCAAAACGCCGAGGCCTCTCTCCAGGGATCCATCTCTCCAGATTAAGGCAGCACCACTGCCTGACCAAGAATGCACTGTCTACATCTGCAGACCAGTCAGGGACTTCGTTTACAGTCAGGCAGGCTTCAGACTCAGGTGACCCACCCTGATACTCAGCATCGTAAACCAATGGAAATATGGTCAGCGTCCCCATTAGATGACTCTTCCATGTCTAGAACAAATTGTTTATTCTCCATCCTCTAGGCCCTAGGTCTATTCCCAAAATAGTGCAGGACCATGTCCAAAAACTTAGGGACCAAGCCACTGAAATTGAGGAAAAAAATATCCCAAGGACAGTCTTCATGGACAGCTACCTGGGGACGGTACTCCTGGTTACTTCCATTCTTGGGGCCACTAACAGGTATTTTATTATTACTTCTTTTTGGCCCTTGCATCTTCAATTTACTTGACAAATTTGTTTCATCTAGAATTCAGCAATTCCGCCTTCGAATGTCACTGCAGATGAGAGGTCAGCCTCTTCCCAGTGATGCCTGCTACCTTTATGAATCTCCCTTGGATTCAGCTGGATCCTGTTTTGCCTGGACTTGCTTCCCTTCTCCAATGAGCCCCTTCTCCATATCCTAAATCCCACAATAAGGGACAACAGCCCACAGGATCCCCTGACAAACCAACAGTCCCAGGTAGGGTCAGTACAATGCCCCTGCTCAAGCACGAAGCCGCTATAGGCAGAGAGGCCTCTGTGCCTGAACCCAAGATTTGGCATTGTTGCTCTGTCGGGGAAAATGTGGAGAAATAGGAGACCCAAACAGTCCAGCAACAGTTGGGTAAATTATTCTGAGGAAAGGGGCCTCAGCAAAATTTACAAGGAGCTTACTGACCACAGTAAGAGTTGTAAAAGCTTGCTGGCCACTGTCAGTGGAAAAGCAGTTAGCTATTGCTCAAGTCAAGTCATCTTCAGGAACAGATCGCCACATTGATCGGCCATCTTGCTGGCCTCCCGCACAAGCATATCACGAACTTCCCTCTCATGCCGGCATGTAAACTCCCCAGCACAGTCTATAAAACTTCCTGCCAAGGGCCGGGCGTGGTGGCTCACGTCTATAATCCCAGCACTTTGGGAGGCTGAGGTGAGAGGATGGACTGAGCCCACAGGTTCGAGACCCATCTGGGCAACTTGGCGAGACTTCATCACTACAATAAATCCAAAAGTTAGACTCTTCCCACTCAAAAAAGAAAGACTTATTAAAG